GTACAAATTATTCTATTTCTAATTGTGATACTTTACAAGATTTTGCTATAATAAACCTTTTGGTATAATTTTTATAACAATAATATAATCACTATGATTATTCTTTAACATTCTAAACAATTCAAAGACGAAGGATTTTATATTTGTAATCCTTCAATTAAATAATTAAGTATAGTTAGATTTGGAATAAGTAGTACGGTAGCTGGATTTTTTAGACATAGTACAGTAGCACAGTAGATTTAGGATTAGTAGTATTCGAGATTAGTAGCATGGCAATTAGATTTGGATTAGTAGTATGACAGTTAGATAGTATAGTAGTTAGATTCAGAGTTAGTAACATGGTAGTTATAAAATTAATACAGTAGTATGATAGTTAGATTTGGGATTAATAGCATGGTAATTAGATTCAAGGTTAGTAACTTGGTAGCTAGATTCGGGATTAGTAGTATGATAGTTAGTAATATGGTAGTTAGATTTGGGATGTAGCATGGTGGGATATAGCATAAAAATCAATAAATTGTAAAATATTTTTATTTTTTATTTTGAATAAAATAATAATAATAATAATAATAATAATAATAATAATAAAGTTAATTACAAATTAGTAATTTTGATTCTGCTTACTTCATAGATAATCAATTACCCAGATGCCTTATACAGTAAATCATTTCACAGACAGAAGTTAAGGTTAGTGCAATTTATAAAAAAAAACTTAATAGAGCGATTAATTATCTACGAAGTGAGCAGAATCAAATTACTTACAGTTTTTTATCTTCGATCAAAATTATTTGACATTATAATAAAATCACTAATTTGTAATTAACTTTTTATTGTTACTACTATTTTTTTTTATTCAAAATAAAAAAATTTTACAATTTACTAATTATTTTGCTATACTCCATACTACATCCCGAATTTAAATACCATATTACTAACTATTATATTATCTAACTACCATGCAACTAATCCCGAATCTAACTACTGTACTATGCTACTAATCCCAAATCTAACTACCATGCTACTAATCTGATGTATTACTAAATTTTTAACTACTAACCCCGAATCTACTACTAATTCCGAATCTAACAGCTATGCTACTAATCTCGAATCTAACTATTGTGCTACTAATCCCGAATCTACCATGCTACTGTACTATGTCCAAAAAATCCAACTATCATGTGAATATAACTATTATGCTACTTGTCCTGAACCTAACTACCGTGCTGATTGTTCTGAATCCAAATACACTGCCACTTGTCCCGAACCTAAGAAAAAATATAAGAAAGAGACAAACACATCATCTCGTTTCAATCAGGTCCGGCTAGTGTTCTCAAACTTCTCAATACAAGAGAATTGTTAGTTCTTGTGAAATAGAACTAAAGGACCGGTACTTCCCATCTCATCTTAATCAGGTCCTTGGTTAGTGATCCAAAACTCCACAATACGAGACTTAAAAAGAAAAGTATTAGTCCTTGCAAAATAAATCCGAAAAAAAGTAAAAAAATAAAAAGACTAGTACTTCTAATTTACTTCAATCACAAACTTCTCAATACAAGACGCTCTATGTGTTAGTTCTTATTAATAGAACTTAAAAAAAAAAAACAAAGAGCACAAGAAAGAGACTGGTGTTTTCTGTCTCATTTCATTCAGGTACCCGGTTGTAAATCCAAAACCTCACCTAAAAAAAAAAGTGTTGGTTCTTGCAAAATAGAACTAAAAAAAAAAAAGCACAAGAGACCAACTTATTTCAATTAGGCCCTGGTTAGAGATCTCAAACTTCTCTAAAAAAAGAGAAGTGTTAGGTTTTGCGAATAGAACTAAAAAAAAGAAAGGGTCTAGTAACTCCCATCTTAATTGGTTAGAGATTCCAATCCTCACAATACAAGACCTAGAAAAAAAAATATATTAATTTTTGCGAAATAGAACTAAAAAAAAATATATTATAAGAAAGAGATTAGTAGTTCCCGTCTTATTTCAATCAGAGATCCCAAACTTCTCAATAAATAAAAGATTTAAAAAAAGAGAAGTGTTAAGTTCTTGCAATAGAACTAAAAAAAATCACAAGACTATATAATGTGGGATTAAGCAATTTGTTAAAATCAGATTGGTATCAGCTCTTACTTATTGCATGCCATCAATTGACATTAATCGGGATTGCCTATTTTATAAACTTATATAAATCGGGTTGCTGCATCAATCGGCGATATGGCGAATTTACAATTTAATATCAATCGGGCATAAATCGGTTTAAAATAAGACATATGCCCGATTGTTCATATTTTAACTAGTGGTAGTCTTGATAGACCAGTAGAAACCTTCTAGTAAAGTTTTATTTTTTTCAAGTGCAGAAGTGAATATTACGAAGAAGAATTCTGCTTATAGCAGATCACACATGAGTAATTTGAACTTCGGTCACAAAGAGCCAGATGAGCTAATACTTGTAATTTAGGTATCGTAAAAACTTGACCTTTAGAGACTCGTTTTTTGAAAATTTGTAATATTTCTTAGTATAATATTTTTAAGCCTAATAAAGTATAGGAAAGATTGCCAAATTGTTTCAAAAAAAAATTAATTAAAGCATTTTTGAGAGTTTAAGTTAAGAGTTTTTGTAGCTAATATCTTTAAAAAAAAACAAACTTATATATAACTATATACAAAATTATAAAATCAATAAAAAATTTTTTTTGTTTTTTATAGAAGAATTAAATTGACTAGTAGCTAGTTTTACTAATTGAACTAGCTAATCAAATTCTTTTACTTGGCTATTAGAAGTTATTAGATCTTTTAGCTAGTGATATAAAAGTTTACTAAATACTTCTAATAGGTAATCATAACTAAAATTTGCTATACTATCTAGAAGTATTCTATTTGTTTCTAATAACTTTCCAGTTCCAGTAATTATCACTGGAACTTTTTAATAAGCAACACTAAGCTAAAATATAAAAGCTATTTGGTAATATATTAGTTAATTTATTACAATAACTAATATGAAGAAAAATTTACTACAGTATAGCTAGTGTTTTAAACCATTAACTAAAAATTTAACTGGGGCTAATCTGAATAGACTTTTGGGTATTTTCAGATGTTTGTTTATATTAGATAAAATAGGATGTGTCAATCCTATTTTATCTAATATAAACAAATATTAGTAATTAGCTAGAAATACCCAGAAGTTTATCTGAATCAATCCTGGTTGAACTTTCAGTTAATGATTCAAAACATTAACTATAGCAAACCAAAACATGGATACTATAATTTGGATATTTGTTACAAAGAGCCAGATTAGTTAATATTTGAAAATTAGATAAAAGTCAAACTTGTTGGTTCAAAAATTGCATGAATAATATAAAATAAATATTTGCACTCCTAAAAAAATAAACATAATTGCCAAATTTTTTAAAAAAATAATATAAAATTTGTTTTATTAAACATATATTGCAACTAAAAATTTAATTTTTTATTAATTTTAATAAATTTAAAATTTTACTACAACAATATAATAACATACTATACTGTATATATAAATAAAATAAAAAAAATAAAAAATTATATAAATATATATTTTTAAATAAAATACTATATTTATTTTTTACTATATAATTAGTAATAAAAAATTAAACTTTACTATATACAAACTTTAATACAGTATATCAATTTTTTATATCAAAATAAATAAAACAACCAATAATTAATATAATCATAAAAAATTTACCAAAAAAATTTAATCAAAAATAATAGCATCAACCTAACCAGGCAGTACTAGTTGCATAGCTAAGTTTGAAAATATGAATACAAAACAAACAAAACTAGTAGTAAAAAAAAATACTAAAATAGTATAAACACTATAAAAGTTAAAAACTAAACAATATATAAAATACTGTAATTAAAACTGCTCTGGTAGGTTTGCCTCCAAAAATAGTAAAATGTCCTAAACCGAATAAGTGAATATGAAGAAAAAATAACCCAAGCGTACCTAATTCGTTAACTGAATCACTACGATATGCCAGTAATAAATGTAAACCCATATGTAACATCGTGAAATCTGATTGAAAAAACCAACCAAAGAGGCCACCTCAAGAAAAATCATTGCTTTTGGGACTCCGCTGTATGAGTATTTGTAGTTGTCGTTTGATAATTATAAGTTTGTGGCTGTTGATGTTGATAATATTGTTGATAATAATTTTGAGGTTGATTATATTGATCTTGAGAGTATTGCTGGCCACCGTAGTAACCAGAATAAGTCTGCTGTTGTGTAGTAGTCTGATCTCCAGTTCCAGGTGCCGAAGCAGCAGCAGAGGAATGAATGGCGGTGCCAGTCACCGCACCATATACAGACGCAGTAGAGCCATATGCACCAGGTGTATGAGCTGTATTTGTAGTGAGACTTTGCGGACCAGCAGCAGCGTTAGAATACTGTGAAGTTGTGGTAGCAGATGTCGTTCCATATGCGTAACCATATTGTGAATACCCGTAATTTGGTGTTACCGAAACAGACTGACCATCTTGTTTGACATCAGTTCCCTGACCAAGTTTGGTTTGATTTACTGCTGGAGGAGTTTGATAATAACCAACTTGAAAATAATAAATAATTTAGAAAATTGATGAACTTCAAAACAAATAAATTAACAAATAATAAGTTAAACGTATGCATACCTTGTTGACCAATGGGCTGTCCAACTGGTTGCACTACAGGAGCTGGTGTAGGCTGTCCAGTGGGAGGTTGATTATATTGTGTAGTTTGGCCGTAAGTTCCGTACTGTGTCTGAGCAGGAAATTGGTTATATGTCGTAGGAGTTTGACTAGTATTATATTGTCCATATTGGCCATAGTTTGCGGGTTGTTGGCCTTGTGTCCCGTATGCGCCAGTAGTAGGATATCCGCTAGTTATGGTTTGTCCGTAATCATTTGTGGTGTTCTGACTGTATGTAGTCTGTTGAGGTTGCGTGTTATATATTCCAGTGGCATATCCATTATTCTGTTGATATCCAGGACCTCCAGTATTACCCGAATTAATGCTACCTTGCTGATAGCCGGTATTCTGTTGATAACCACTTTGATAGTTTCCTTGTTGATATCCACTTTGTTGATAGCTATTTTGTTGATAACTATTTTGTTGATACGAATTTTGCTGATATCCACTTGATCCATAATCCCTATTATCATGTATTCAGGTGAAATAATAAAAATTATTTGAGAATCAATAATTTCCTAATAATCTTGATAACAAGCTACCGAGATTAACCTGTTTCCATATCCCCTATTTTGGTCACCATGACGTGATGGCCTTTCGCGCTGTAACGATATTCAAATGTGCAATCATAAAAAATAAAAAATATACGATACGAAAATCATCAACAATCATGTCAAAACTGGCCTTTAAATTACAAAAAGAAAAAGAAGAAAAAAAGAATTATCTAAAAAAAAAACTATAGCAATCACACTCAACAAACAAAGGCAAACGACAGTACATTTCCAGATGCAGCTTTTTCAAGAATCAATTGTTTCGCGACAGTAATATTTTCAGCAGAACCTATAGCAAGCGACGTCATCATGCACACAATGCGCATCGAGCAACTGACATTGAATTTACAACGTTTTGGAGGCAAGAAAGTTATCATATGCAGCTAGACAATGAGTTATTCATATGCTTACCGATAATTTGTACATTGCGCTCTACAGGCGGAACACCATGAACAGGTTCAATTTGTATTTTTGCCCCTGACTGTTGTTGAAGTGCTCTTACCGTTTCCCCTCCTATAAAGATTAGTTGTTAAGTACCAGTACCAGAAATAAGCAAATAGAAATGTAACTTTACTTACCCTTTCCTATGATCAATCCAACAGAATCATTTGGGACTTGGATAGTAATACTATCCTGATTGGATTTTCCTGTGGGATGTCCACCGTATGGCCCGTAATGACCACCACTATTTCCATAGTTGCTACCATGACTATCATTACTATAAGTGCTTCCACCATAACTGTTTGAGCGGTAATCTTTAGGATAACCCTTAAAAATAGTCATGTAGTCATGTTAAGTATTAACGTGCAACGCGATTAAAAAAAACAACTACTACATACTCTATTAGGTTCAGAATCACCCGTATTTACAATTTCATCAATTAGAGCTTTGGCCCTTTGTACAGCAGCTTCATCTCCAATTAAAGTTACCGAACGGTCGTTAGATTGTGGGCTAGCTGCGCTATCCGGTGTTACGTTGATTCGTGCACCACTTCGATCCTGCAAGTCTCGAATGGTTTCACCACCTCTGCCGATAACGACTCCTACCTTACCACTTGGAATGTGGATTGTGATAGTTGAACGATTACCTCCACCCTGTAAATCGCGACGATTGAGTGTATTTCCGTTGATAGCATCTTCAACAAGTTGTTGAATCATCCCTTTGGCATTCTTAACATCATCTGGCGTGCCGGTAATAGTTACTCGCCTTTCTATAACATCTGGTGGCTGATCTGTGATTGGGACAATTTTAACATCTCATTATATTCGTGGAAAATAAAATTACCCACCCTGAATTTTTTAATTACCCTGTGAAAATTGAATTCGTGCTCCTGTCTGTTTTTCAATTCGTTTCAAATTTTCTCCCCCTCGACCAATAACCAAGCCTACAACTGCATTGGGTACTTTAAATTCTTCTTGAGTAGAAATACGAGACGAATCTCCGAGTGGTCCGTAATGTGAGCCATGGTATGAACGTCGATCTTCACTTCCTAGACCATAACGGTGCCTATTATTACTATTATCGTCTAAATAATTAAATTAAGTTAAGAAAATTTTTGATTATTATTTACTATAAACATATAAATGCAAAAAAGGATACGCTCTGGGCGAGATGAACCACCATCATAAGCTGTTCTTTTTGAATCCCTTCCGTAATCTTCATAACGACTTCCTCGCTCTCGTCTGTTGTAAGAATCTCTACGATATTCATCCCGATAATCATCTCGATTATCTCTTGGACCATGTGAGATATAACTGTCATCGTGTGAACGTTTAATACCTTGTTGAGTATCTTAAAAATTTAATGCTTGAATATTAGTACTTATCGTAAACTACGATTAATTATGAAAAAATTCTTACTGTTGTTATTACTGCTGACGTTATTATTAAGATTAATGTTATTGTTATTATTGTTATTATTGTTTTGTGGTGCAGCTGTATTTGTATCGCCCGTTTGTAACAACTTGGCTGCGATAGCCTTTACTTTCGCCATTGCATCACTAAATTCAACTGGCCCTGTAGCTGAGATAAGTGAAGAAGGTGGTGGTACATTAGAGTAATCTATGACGGCCATGGAATTATCCATTAATTGAATTTCTGCAATTGTCGAATCTTCCTCGGTTTTGTGAACCTCTACCATAGATGAATCTTCGATTTTATAAACATCTACCGTAGATGAATCATCGATTTCGTGAACTTCCGCCATGGGTGAATCATTGGTTTTGTTGACTTCCGCTGTAGATGAATCATCGATTTTGTGGACTTCTGCCGTAAACGAATCGTCAGTTTTGTCGGCTTTGTGAACTTCTACCGTAGATAAATCTTCAGTTTTGTTTATTTCTTCCATCATTAAATCTTCTTTGGTTTTGATGACTTCCGCCATAGAAGATTCTTCGGTTTTGATGACTTCCGCCATTGAAGATTCTTCGGTTTTGATGACTTCCACCATAAAAGATTCTTCGGTTTTGATGACTTCTGCCATAGAAGATTCTTCGGTTTTGATGACTTCCACCATAGAAGATACTTCGGTTTCCGCCATAGAAGATTCATCGATTTTGTTGATTTCCGCCATAGAAGATTCATCGGTTTTGTTGATTTCCGCCATAGAAGATTCATCGGTTTTGTTGATTTCCGCCATAGAAGATTCATCGGTTTCGTTGATTTCCGCCATAGAAGATTCTTCAGTTTTGTTGATTTCTGCCATAGAAGATTCATCGGTTTTGTTGATTTCTGCCATAGAAGATTCTTCGATTTTGTTGATTTCCGCCATAGAAGATTCTTCAGTTTTGTTGATTTCCGCCATAGAAGATTCCTCGGTATTGTTTATTTCTTCCATCATTAAATCTTCTTTGGTTTTGTGAACTTCCGCTATAGAAGATTCTTCGGTTTTGATGACTTCCGCCATAGAAGATTCTTCGGTTTTGATGACTTCTGCCATAGAAGATTCATCGATTTTGTTGATTTCCACCATAGAAGATTCATCGGTTTTGTTGATTTCCACCATAGAAGATTCATCGGTTTTGTTGATTTCCACCATAGAAGTTTCTTCGGTTTTGTTGATTTCCACCATAGAAGATTCTTCGGTTTTGTTGATTTCCGCCATAGAAGATTCTTCGGTTTTGATTTCCGCCATAGAAGATTCTTCGGTTTTGTTTATTTCTTCCATCATTAAATCTTTGGTTTCGTGAACTTCCGCCATAGAAGATTCTTCGGTTTTGATGACTTCTGCCATAGAAGATTCTTCGGTCTTGTTGATTTCCGCAATAGAAGATTCTTCAGTTTTGTTGTTCGTTTCTTCCATCGAAAAGATACAATATATTTTATCGAATATCACATGAAATAACAATTTTTACCCTTTTTTATGCATGTGAAGTTACACGACAAATATGATTGGTTAGTTATGTTGGTTCACCAATCATACTGCTTGTTTTGTGTAACTTCATATGAAAAACGCTAAGAAGGCAAGTTTTTTTTTTCTACAAATGCTAGGAAAATAATTTTTTTTTTTTTTTTTTTTTTGCGATATTTGGGTAAGTTAATTTTATAAAATAAAAAAAAATTACTGTTTATTGTTAAAAAGATAACAATTCAAACTTTTGCGTTAACACGAGCAAATGAATTTTACATTTTTTTTGCTGATCATGGAACTTTGATGTGTCGATTTTGTGACATGTCTGTTAATTTTGAGGCAAATCAACCATTCAACCCATATTAATGGTGTGAAGCACATTGCCAATAAAGTTGCAAAGGAACGACGTGGAATAATGCAAAAGCAATCAACATTACATACTTCAATTAGCACTGCACAAAACACTTAAAGCAAACAGGCAGTACACAGTGCCATACCCTATTGAAGATCAAGCGTTTTTGGAATTTTTTCGCTTTATAAGGGAGGTAGGGGTATTATGGCGAAGTTAACAACTTTTGCTCGTATCACATGATATGTTAATCGAAATCGAATGATTTTGGTATTGATTACTAAATCCAAAGATATTTGAGTTTAAAGTTTTATGTGTTGGAAGGTATTGTGGCGAATCATTGATATCTCGTGACTAGTGATGCAGGCGGAACTTGAGAAATTGGGATGTCCCATATCGTAACTGAGTTTAACTAGTCATACCTTTTTGTTTTAAATTACGGCGTGCTATAATTTGCGTATGTGCCGATAAAATTATTCAAGTTATAACTTTTATATATGCCGTAACTCAATTTTATATACCGTAACTTGCCGTAACCTTATTATATTGTAAATACTGCTGCATATTTATTTTATATACAACTTGAATGCTTTTCATGCTAAATTACAACTCCTGAATATTACAAATCGTACTGTTAAGAATTTCCTTATGTCAAGAAAATGATCTACATCCGATGTAACACACAATTTTGATAATATTATATATATATATTATTTTTAGTATAAAAAACTCTTTCTATAAGTAAAATTTCATGCTACGCATTTTTTACTTAGAAATAAAGGCCGAT